ACGGGCATATTGAAGAGGCAGCGCAGGTGTACACAGGATGCCTCAACTGGATCTGGTGACGTGGACGACCATGCTAGTCGCATATGCCCAAGAAGGAAATCTTAGAGAATCATTGCAAGTATTCTCTGAAATGCGCGAGAGAGACATAGTGACCTGGAATGCCATGCTGACTGCATATGCCCAAAATGGGCAAATACATAAGATGAAAGAGTTTTCTTACAAGATGCCAGAACAAAACCTTGTAACGTGGAATGCATTACTGGGGGGATTTGCCAAAAACGGCCGATTGCAGGATTCCAAGCGGATGTTTGATTCCATGGCCGAAAGGAATCTCGTGACGTGGAACTCGATGCTTACGGCATATGCCCATCTGGGGCATCTGCTGGATGCTAAGAACCTCTTTGACACGATGCCCGAATGGGATCTCCACTGCAATACGGCGCTCCAATCCGCCTACGCTAATGCCGGATGCGTGAGCGATGCGAAGAGGCTCTTTGATTCCGCCCAGCAGCGGGATCTGGCGTGCTGGAACTCGATGATCTCTGCTTATGCTCATGCCGGACAAGTATCGCAGTCGAGATCTCTCTTTGATGCGATGCCTGAGAGGGATGTTCTCTCCTGGACGGCGATGCTCGTCGCCTACACTCAAAGCAGACAGATTAGAGAGGCCCAAGCCTTGTTTTGCGAGATGAAGGGGCGGAGCTTGATCGCCTGCAATGCTATGCTTGCGGCGTTCTCCCAGGCAGGGATGCTGGACTCAGCCAGGGACCTCTTCGAATTCTCCTTCCAGAAGCGGGATCTTATCACCTGGAACGCAATGCTTAGCGGGTATGCCCAGAGCGGGCAAATCCGGCAGGCCCGTGAGCTGTTCGATCGAATGCCGGAGAGGAATCTCGTCTCGTGGACAACGCTTCTGGGTGGATTTGCGTCGATTGGTTGGGTGGAAGAGGCGAAATCAATGTTTGATCGAATGGCGCGCTGGGATCTCGTCGCCATCAATGCAATGATCACAGCCTTTGCCTCGCAAGGGCATCTTGGCGAGGCAAAGAGGATCTTTAGCACAATGGAGGAACGGAATCTAGTCACCTGGACGATTGTTGTGTCCGCCGTGGCGCAAGCTGGCCAGCTTGAAGATGCGTGGTATCTTTTTCACGCCATGGACGAAAGAAACTCTGTGACGCGGAATGCGATGCTCTCGGCATATGCCCAGCACGGGCATCTGCAAGATGCCAGGAGGATCTTTGATGGCATCGAGGAGCCCAGCGTGGTATCGTGGAACGCGCTCATGGCAGCGTATGGGCACAACCAGAGGCCACACGAGGCCTTACATCTGTTCCACGCAATGGTACTCGAGGCGGTGTCTCCGAACGACGTCTCCTTTGTGACGATGCTGAGGGCGTGCATCCATGCGGGCGAGTTACACCGAGGGCGCGCTGCATTTGTTTCGATCCATCGAGATTTCCAGCAGCGTCCCACGAAGCAGCACTTTAGCTGCGCGATCGATCTCCTGGCGCGCGGGGGATACGTTGTGGATGCCCGGGAGCTCGCCGAGACGATGCCGTTCGAGCCCGATTCGCTGGATCGGTCGTGCCTCTTGGGAGCCTGTGGCAGCCACAACGAAGCAAAATCGATATTTGACGGTGGCGGCAGTCCTGCGGATGCCGCTGGCTATATCCTCCTTGCGAACTCTGTGGCACTAGACAAATAGTCTCACTATCTCTTGTTAATACACAGCTTTAGAACACACAACAGTGAAAAATTCTTTATTCCAAGGCACAGATCATACGAGCAAAACGTTTTCTCAAAGTTTGGTTTCTAGAAGTACTTTGGTACCTCCACCGCCTTTTCCCACGCCTTTGAGGGCCTCCTCGACGTCCGAGAGCTCGTATCTCTTGCACGGCGAGAGCTGAAAGACCTTCGCTTCGAAAAGCCTCCACGCCTCGCTGATGAAAGCGTCTCTGTGCTCCACAGAGTCCCAGTAATTCATCACGAGCCAGCCTTTGATCTCCACTTGCCGGAGCAGATCATAGATGTTTATGGTGGCTTCCGTGCCGGAGAGAACGCCATACAGAAACACCGTTCCTTTTCTTCTCACGCATCCTGTCACAATCTAAAACCAGAAGCACACATTTACTTGAATGCCCAGTAAGAAAGGGAGAAAGAAAGTACCTTGGTCATGTCTCCACCAACGCAATCCAAAGCTCCATACACGAGCTTATTACTTGTAATCTCCTTGACTCTCGCAACAACATCTGTCAAAACAAACACGTTAAAATCTAGAAGAATGCAAACGGATGACAAGAGATTACCTTCGGTTGTAGAACAAATCACTTCGTCGGCCCCGAGTGCCTTGAGCTCTTCTTTCTGCTCTTCCCGTCGGACAACATTGATTGTCTTGATCCCCTTGTGCTTGGCTAGCTGGATCACAAGCCTGTAATCAAAGAGATAAATTAGGAAAACTAGAAGAACTTTCAAGACTTTACCTTCCAAGCATGGAACCGGCAGCTGTTTGCAGCATAAAATCGCCCTCGGGGACATGAAGGTCTCTCATCAAACCAACAGCAGTCCACGGATTCAGGACAAACTGCGCTGCCACCTCGTCGGAGACGGAGTCCGGCACCAAAGTGAGCATGCTTTCTCTCACACAAACATACTCTTGCCACGAACCATCACCGCTCTCAATCGCTGACTCCCATACAAACGGCACCACCCTCTGCCCCGGCTTCACTTTGGTAACTCCATCTCCAATCTGGAAGCTCTCAAAGTCAGCAAACAAAAACAGCAAAAATTGTTCGCGAACTTACAGCATGAACTATCCCGTATCCTTCCGAGCCTGGCGTGGAAACAGGACGGCCATGGCGACTTAGAGGGGAAGTAAGATCCGTCGGATTGATGGGCCTCAAAAGAAGGTGGATAACAACCTTGCCTGGAAGCGCCTCGGGAATCGGCCTGCTAGCCAGTTCCAGTTTTCCAATCCCCGTATAATTTGGATCAACCTTGTGTAGTATAGCTCTGTTGCCTGTGCTCGCCATTAAGCCACAAAACTAGACCCAGCACCCTCCCCATCCCAGCGATTTATATACTTCCGAAAGTCGACTCCGAATTGACGTGATAGAAAAAAAGTTTTTTCCGGATCTGAGCCTGTTGCTTCAACGAAACTTCAGTAGCAGCTTCACACTTTGGACTCGTTCGGTTGGACTTTTCCCAATTGATCCAGTTTATTGATGACGCCCTTTACAGTGCTGGTCCTGTACCCCCCGAAAAAAATACGAGTGCTAATAGACTTTCCTCGAGATGAAAGGAGCCAAGCTTCTCCTCCGCTCCGGGAGTTCGATCATTGATGATGCCGGTTGCTGTTTCCACGACTCCCTGAACGCTTCAATATTGTTCCTGTTTCCAAGGCTCCCATCTTTGTCGAGTCGAGCAACCGCGCCACCGGCAACAGGATCATCCCAGCAGTTTCTATAGTATCTCTCGGCTTCTTTCCTTCTTCTGCGTCGGTGCCTACTGCTGCTGTTGCAGATTCCCCTAAACCTGGACTCCTCAGCAGCTCTGCGAACAGCATTTGTGTAGAAATTCTCCGACGAAGAGTCTGTTTGCTGCTGCCGTCTTGGACGGTGTTCGCGATGACGATAGGCCTCCGATAGTCTGACATAATTCTCAGGTAGACAGGGCTGAGGAAAGCTTTGCCGTTTTCTAACGTTCAGTCGACCGATCATATCTGACATGTCTTCAATTGCCGCTTTCAAGCGTTCTCTGGAAAGTGATACTCTTCTGTGGCCCTCTTCAAAGGCGTTGTCACAGCGACGCCAATAGCCTGTTCTTCCTTCATCCTCGAACTGACGGACTGAAACTCGTGGTTCGTCGAGGCCCTGTGTCTCGTTAGAAGTCCCCGTGAGTTGATCACTATAACGCGGACGGAGCGGCCTTCGTGCTCGTTTACGATCTTCCTCCTCGGACACGGACAATGTTTTGCTGCTTTCTACTTCCGGCTTCATGCATGGTGCTCTACGTACTTGATCAGCACGCTCGATTGACTCCTCAAGAGCCGTTATCCAGGAACTCATCTCTTTCTGTTCAAAAGAATAACATTAGATTTTTAAAGTTGCAGCGCATTGCGCGTACCTCTTTAGAGTGATGTGCTATGATTTGAAACTCCAGCTGATTAAATGACATCTGGGTCATCACGAACAAAAATTGAGTGAGTAAAGAGCAAACAGTCTAGGCGTGCTTCTTACCTTGACGTTCGCGCGGAAAAGAGAGGTCACAGATCGCACATGTCGACCAAGTATGTTTGTTCCCTGCAAATACGTGCCATGTTAGAGAAATCGTTCGCGCCTAAAGCAACCACTTACGGCAAACATAAGAAGCTTTCCAGGTACAACCACCAGAAAGCGTTCTGTCCTCCTCCGCTTAGCTTTTGCTTTGCGCAAAATGATTCCATATTTGAGTATCCTTTTGTCCTGCGAGAAGTACGACACGCTTACGAGAGGAATTTCATTTTCTCCAAGTCTCTTACCAGGCCGACAATACTAATGCCTTGACGCACAGCTTCTACTGCAGTCATATTTTTCGCGATACACTGCAAAAGCCCGGTAAGTGACGCTAAAGCTTACTTGCTGCATTGATACCTGCAGAAGATGTAGCATGCATTCCTTCTCGGCGCTGTTCTGGACGTTGAGCTCTAACTCAAGTAAACTGCCAAGCTGGGCGATTTTAAGATTGGCCACTAACACCAACAAAACCAAAGAAATTTGATGTTTGCATGGACTAACCCAAAGAAAAGCGACACGAAAGGATCCTCGACATCTTTATCGAACGCGCATCGCGTGTACGAGTCAAACGGCCGTGCCTGAAAAGGTCTGAAATGATAAGTGTGTTCGCTCGGACCAAAAAATCTCCACTGAAGAGAGCACGAAGAAGAAAAGAACCAACCACGACGACGCGCTCCCTATCCAGCAAGATGAATGTACGCACCGCAAAATTTACTTCCAAGATCGCCTTCTCCCACTCCTGCAATACCAGATCGTTTCATCTCGCAGCGATCATTGCAATCAATCACGTGACAATCTCCTTCTCACCTTGCCGCCGCCGCTGCCGCCGTCGCGAAATGCGATCTGGAAGGAGAAGAGCTGCGCGTAGTCGAGCGGCGGAGGCGGCGCTCCCGCTGCTCCATCCGCGACGCGCATCATCGCGCAACACTGCCCTAAAATAAGAATCGATGGAAATGCACCGTTGGATCTCCTGTCGTCCCCATATTACAAGGAATCTATCCGGAATTTACCCGGAGCAAACTTTGTACGTCAGCACGATCTAGACGAAGAACTTGTCACTGTCTAGAGGAGACGAAGAAGATGGACTAGCTAACTATATTTTAATCGAAAAAAAGGAGAAGAACTCCTCCGCGAGAATCGATCGATCCAAACAAGCTTTGAATCAGATCGACCAACAAGCTCGCCCTTCTAAACTCTTCCACTTTTCTGATTTTTCTCCCTTTCGATCGATGATGATCAAGACGAGTAGAATTGGAGAAGCTCGTCGAGCTCCAGATGCCTGGCTTGAGCGTCATTGTTGTTGAGCAGCCAAAGTACGTGCTCGAACAGAACAGCCTCGCACGGAATGCTGAGAGCTCCCGCATGATCAAAGCCGTACTCCTCGGCAGCTTTCTCCAGGAGCGCTCTGAAGAGGGGGTGATTGAGGTGCTCCATTCTAACCAAGAACCGGTGCCTCTCCTCGCCGGCATACACTGCAAAGCTTCCCTGCGGGACATTCGGAGGAGCAAAGTTGAGGCTGCCTTCGCAGTCACTGCTACTGTCGCTGGAGAATCCGCTCGAGGAGCCATTGCTGCTGTAGCTCCTTGGTAGCTTGCTCGATGGGAGCGCCTTTCTGAGGATCGATACAAGTTTTGCCATTGACAGTGTGTTCTTCCTTCCAAAACTTTTCTCGTTTCAAAGTGGAGAAACTTTTCTTTCTTCTTGATCTTTCTTCCGCGAGGTGGAAAAAAACGCTGAAAGCTTCCAAAGCGGAAGATCAAAAGAAAGCTCACTGCTGATGCTTGATTTCAGCCTGCAAAGACCCTGAACTTTTATAGCAGGATCCGCAGAGTCACATTTCTCCGCTACGCCGGAGATAAATCGCGTCAAGATGACGGGGAAGATCGTGACGGAGGGATCTACTACTCGGCTGGAACAACTTGTGCTCCCTACCAGACATGCAGATCAGCATGATTCATGACAATTTTGTGAGAGCGGAAAAAATACAAAAGGAAAAAAAAAAAATCAGTCCTTGAGCTTGCATAAAGTATACATATCTATCTCTTGCTTTCCTCTCTGCTCGCGATGAATTCCTCCAGGAGCTCTTGAGCATTGTCATCCAGTGGTCCTGGGTTTCTTGCGGTGTGGTCCTCCCGCTCTTAAGTTTTCAAAGATCTCAAAATGAACCTTCCAAAGATCTCACTTCCAGAGTCAATCGGAAAAGCTCTATGAAAACGAAAGGAAAAACAGCATTGAATGCAGTACTTAGTACCTAATTGTTCCGTCGAAGGTCGATGATCAAGGAAAGGACGATCGGAACATCGCCGGTACTCTATCTTTTAAGAAAAAAAATCGTTCTTTTTTCTTTTTCTCCTTTTTTTCGGCTGGAACCATTAGCCTAGCTATCATCAGCAGCAGCTGTAAGCCTGCAAGGGTACCAGCTGAAATTAGTGATCATGGTCCCCGCAACTTGAAAATCATATTTTTTTGGTTCCTCCACAAACCATTTTTTTAGCTTGACATTCCTGATTGGATTTGTCAGCGTTGTTTCGGGGGGAGACAATACCTCGGCAGCAACAAAACCTCTCCCCAGAGCTCCTCAAGAGTAGCGCCCCATGCAAGCAACCAGTAAACAAGCTTTTCTCTCCTTTTCTCCTCCACAAGTTCTGTTCCTCAACCAGCCAAAAGAAACTCTTGGCAAGCAAAAAACCGATCAGAATCGTTTTTTTAGTTCTTCTGCCTGTTCTAATCGAGCTCCAACTTTGAAAAGATTGGATCATACCTCACTGTCGCGCACACCTCTTTCATCAAAGTCACATGCCACACTTAAGTTTGCGGTCCCCTCTCTGCAATGACCCGATGAACAGAACAACAGCAAATGCGGTAAGAAAGAAGCTCCCGCGAGGGCTCCCCGAGCAAGAACACCGCAATTTTAATTCACAACATCTCTGGAGAACGATTAATCTCGTTGTCTCGTCGTCGTCGTCGCATTCGCGCTGGAACCACTGGAGTTATGAGCTTCTGATCCCAGGACAAAGCGTGTAGAGGTACAATTTGTACCACCCCATTGTTTCTTCCTCTCTTTTTTCCTTTTTCTCTCTAGTGTGAAGATTCAGCTACCAAGTTAAGTTGGCCAGAGCGTGTTGGCTACCCACCAATCTCTTTCATGTGCAATGATTCTTATAATTGCCGGAGCTTGGCTTTGGTTCTTCGATTGTCCGGAACGTTGCATGACAAGCTTTGAATCGTTTTATCCGGATTCAGCGAGGTTCCCTATCCAGTCCGGCCAGCTTCTTCGCTGGAGCTTGGAGCTGGAGGATCACAACCCCTGCACGTTAGACAGCACGACTTAATGGCGAAAGGAACACACTGGAGGAAAAAGAGAGAAGCAAAAAAGCAAGAGGAGGCTTGAATACAGACCTCCTGCACAGTCCTTGCGACTTGAGTTGACACTCGCTGATATCAGGTTCATGTTCTCCAGTATTTTGGCCGGTTTTTCTTCATTGTGATTACTTTTATAAAGCGCGCGCACAGTGCCTCTTGAGTGAATGCATCTCTCTACCATCTAATGCAAACACCGACATTCGATTTAGTTCCTCAAAGCCAAACACCAACTTGAATGGAAAGGAAATCGCCCAGCAAACCAATGAGCTCCCGTCTATAGATCGCGGAGCCGCTTTGCAGCGACACAAACCTTCCTAGCGTAAAAAGAAATAAGAACCAGCAGTTTTTTGAGGATCCGACAAGGAGGCCCAGGTTGGGTGACACGAGAGTTGTCCCTAGGATTTCCAGCAAGTTCCTGTTACTAGGCGAGACAACGCACAGGACCATAACTGCAACGATTGAAATGAAAGAGCCACACTTCCCACCTGGAGAGAGCTCCAGCAGTTGGAACGCATCGCTCACCCTTTAATAATCAAGTGAAAAGGAATGGAAAACGAAAGAAAAAAGAGTTTTTTCTCCAGTTCTTTACGTTCGATCTCCCACGCTATAAAGCTTGGTTGTGAACAAGGAGCCACAACTCCCAGTTTCTCGGTTTTTTCCTCGGTTCTCTTTCTCTAGTGTGCTTTGAGTCAATCATTCCTTGCTAGTAGCATGCACAAAAAATTTTTAGCTGCTCTCAAAAGCTCTCCATCTCCCGGAAGCTCGTCACGGTCGAGCTCAAGTGTTTCGAGCATGCAAAGGATGCCTTCGTGGCAAATGAGCGACTTAGACAGTGACGAAGAAAGCGTCTCTAGAACAAATCAACCGCCACCGGATGTTCCAAAGGGATTCTTTGCAGCTTACGCTGGAAGCAAGAGGTTCATCGTGAGCACAAAGCACCTCACGCATCCCATTTTCAGGGCCTTGCTCCAAAAGGCCGCCGACGAGTATGGATTTCGTCACAGCGGAGCTCTCCAAATTCCCTGCGAGGCTGTTTTGTTTGAGCATTTTCTATGGCTGCTGGACACGAAAGACCCCGTGTGCGCGAAGCTCGAGCAGATCCACGACCTTGTGGAGTTTTACAACAGGGACTAGAAGCTCTCTAATATAGGTTTTAGAGGAAGCCCTCTACTCCACAGGAGATGGATCCAAGCCAGCAGCACCAAGATCGAGTAGATCGGCTAGTGGGTCTGCTGGGTTTTTGTAAATCGTTCGTCCTTGTGAAGAAAATCAAACTATAATCACGATACTCAAACTGTAACCCCGTAACTTGCTTATCTGAGTAGAAACGTAATTTCGTACTCATCCGCGTACTACAAGTTGGAATAAAAAGCAAGCGAAAGTGTCGAAAGCGACTGGATTTCCTGCTCTTCACGCACCCCGATTGGCGTCCACAACCACACATCCATTGCAGCAATTGGCTGTTTGAGCAGAGATATCATGCCAGGCTCGAAAGGATCTCCTCGTCGATCACCATCGCTCGCAAAAACTAAACTTTTGATGCTTTCTCGCAATCTTACGGCCGCATCTTCGAGCATTCCGTCCAGAGATGATCTCTAGAACCACGAGGAAGCAAAAAGAAAGAGAGGAGAATCAAGCTTTCCTGGACAGAGATTTGGTCTTGATTGATTGATCTCGCAAAAAACAGCGAAAAAAACAGCGAAACAAGACGGCTGTCGGAGTGGCCAGCCAGCTAACGCAAAAAATACGTAAGTCGCAGCGGTCGCAGCATTGACAGCTAGGGGCTCCATTGACAGCCCTGGACGAGAACGCGACCAGAAAAGCCACCCTTTTTTTTTTCTCTCTTCTTCGTTTGTTTGTTTGCTCTCTGGCTATGGCGGACGAGGGACGGTTACACATCATCTTTGATACAACCTTTATACAAACCCGTTGGTATTAACTCCGTTTGTGTCTTCATCTGTCGCAACTCGCATTCTCCGCATTAAAACGCGGCGAACAAACACTCATCCTTTCCAAGATGAAGGAAGCTCTGATGCAATCCATGGCCGCCATAGCTTCTTCTTAGCAAGCAAGCTACTCTCCCAAAATCCATCTTTTCCCCAGTTTGTGTTGGTGTTTTCCTCATCTATATGTTGCGTATCTAAGCGCCGTCGAGAGATTCATGGCTGGGAGCGCGAGCAGCAAGGTGAAGAGAATCGTGGATAAGTGGCAGAAGAAGCTCAAGCGATCGGGGCGATCGTATGCTTCATTGGAGTCGGCGTCGCCGCTATCAACTTGCGCGAGCGATCTGGAGGAGTTTGATCACAAGCAGCAGCCGCAGCGAGCATCCAAGATCATCGCAAAAGAGGAGGCAAGAGCTCCAGAAGACGCGTTCGTGGTTTACGTGGGCAAGGAAGCGAGACGATACGTGGTGGAAGCGCGCCACTTGAAGCATCCACTGTTTAAATCCTTCGTCCAAAAATCCGCGGCGAGCAATCTCGAGGAGGAGGAGGAGGAGGACGCGCTGGTGAGAATCTCTTGCGAGGTTGTCATGTTTGAGCATCTCCTGTGGACGCTGGAGAACTATGATCCAGCCGAGCTCCACGGAGAAGCTCTCAATGAGCTCCTCGATATGTATGCTACGAGCTAAAGAGCTCGGAACAAATCAATCTAGTTCATTTTTTTAGGGTTCTTAGCAAATGTTCTCTTGTGGCGTAGGCGCGGCCAAGGCGCCCGGCTGGAGGAGGCTCGATCGGTGCTCGTCCGCGCGTAATCCGAGGCGTGCTGGTAAGATTCTAGCTGTAGCGCACCAGCAGACGCGGGGGATCGGAGGTTTGCTCCGGGCATTTCACGATGCCCCGGATCGTCACGGCCGGAGCTCGTGTAGGAATATAGGGAAGAACAGATGGGATGAGTCGAGAAGGAAGATCGAGATTGCGCTCGATTTGGAGCATTTCAGTGGTGGTGACGGTAATGGAGGGTTTAAGAATTTTGGGAATGGAGGAGATGGGGATAGTAGTGACAACGATGGTGGCAAGGATCCAAAGGACTGGATCAAGCTCTTGAGATATTTGTGTTGTGCGGCACTGGGGGTTTGCGTTCTCGTACACAGTAGTAATGGCAGCAGTCAGGCTCTAACGCATGAAGCTGGTAGAATCAGTGACGATGCTATCTGGAAAGTGAAGGATGGGAAATGGACGAGATATATCGTTGATGAGGCTAGCATGGCGCTGGTTGTGGACGTCACGAAGATGAGCGAAGACGAAGCCATGGCTTACGAGCAGGAGTGCCTGGAAAGAGAGAAGAACAGCAAAGGCAAATCTTCTCCTTCAACTGACAAAGCTGGCGCCGTGAGCACGGGAAGATCTCGCAAGCTGGGAGTTGACGAGATTGTCAGCTGGTGTTTGGATGCTCTCAAGACAACGATGCTTCCCATAGGATACCCGAAGACTGTGAGTGATGACTACACGGAGTACACTTTGTGGAGGATGGGACAGATCATAGCGAGCCAAATAAGTGGAGTCCTGACTACGCAGGTTCGGTTTTTAATTTTTGTTCCTTCAGGAGGATTTCGATTGAACAACAAAATCTCTTTTCTGTATAGGCTTTGCTTTACGCAGTTGGACTAGGAAAAGGTGCCATTCCCACGGCAGCCGCAATCAATTGGGTTCTCAAGGACGGCATTGGATACCTTAGTAAGATCGTGCTCTCAAAGTATGGTCGTCACTTCGACGTCCATCCAAAGGGTTGGAGGTTATTATCGGACTTGATTGAAGATGGTGCATGTGGTTTGGAGCTGCTTACTCCGACGTTTCCACATCTCTTTGTTCCTCTTACCGCGGTTGCTGGAGCTGGGAAGTCCGCTGCTGGTTTGATTCAGGTAATTAAGTGTTGTTACAAGGAGAGCTTTCGAAAATTTCCATTCAGGCGGCAACAAGGAGCTGTTTCTACGCTGGTTTTGCAACTCAAAACAACTTTGCAGAGGTCTGAGTTTACAAGCGCTGCCGTTGTAGTTTAAACTCACGTGTACGCAGGTTATTGCTAAAGGTGAAGCTCAAGGAATGGTGAGCAAGTCGCTTGGAATTGCTTTGGGCATTGGAATATCGAGCAAAGTTGGATCATCCGGACCTTTGCTAGTACTATCTTTTGGTACAGTGACAGCAGTGCATGTTTTGTGCAACCTCAAGTCTTATCAAGCCGTGCAGCTTCACACGTTGAATCCTTACAGAACAGGTGCTTGCGTGCTCGTCCAGCCTACTTGAGACTGAAAAGATGCCATTTTGTGCAGGCCTTATCATGGCAGAATATTTGACGACGCAGAGAATTCCATCCGTAAGAGACGTAAACTCCGTGGAGCCCATTTTCACGGTCGCAGACTTTTTTTCCAGCAAGAAAGCACCGGTTAGTACGCATGTTGGTCGCTTTTTGCTCACCTCAAAGTGTGTTGGCAATAGCTGTCTATTTCGTGCGAATCGAAATGTGCCGCGGCTGACATCGAGAAGAACTTAAAACTGGGAGTCAGTTTTGGCGAAGCAGTGGCTAGCAGAGGAGCTGCTCAAGCGTTGCTTGATCTTTACAGTGGAGAGGAGTACCTCTTAACATATGACGACAGTCATTGCTTTAAGGTAACATCGCAGACACGTTGTGTCCGTTTGTAACAGCAGAAGCGAACTGCGCTGTGCAGGTCGTACTCAAGAAATCGGCGTCGCCACATGATATGTTGAGAGCCGTAGTACAAGCTTCATACTTGAGACATATTCACAATCAACAGAGCCTCTCTAAAGACGAGCTACTTAAACTTTCGTACCAGAGCATGCAGCAAAGTTTCAACGAGCTGATACAGGGGCTCCAAGCTGCCGGCTGGTCCACGAGCGGATTGGTGGCAAGGCCTGGATCAAACAGGCTTGGTTGAGGTACATTGAATCAGTTTTCCTGTGCTGCTGCACGTCTACGCCTTTGCTGCAGGCTTGGATTTAGCGAAGTCGGATTCATGGTAAATGTATTAGAATATCCGCTTGCCTTTGTCAACAGCTTTTATGTGTTCGGCCAGTTGCAAGGAAAATACCTCTCAAGCATCAAAAGGCCCTTTGGTTTAGCGGTACGGAGCTGATGGTTTTTATTGATAGGCTTGCAAGGAGTCATGGCGTTCGGGTTGGCTTTGCAGAGCAAGCGTGATTTACCAACAAAATCTAATGGTGAGACGATATTCACCACTACAACAGCTATTGTCGTTGTCAAGGTATGTCTATTTTGCGTTTTCCTACGTTCAGCAATCCTCATATGGAGGCTCACATCAACAATGCTGGAAAAGCTGGAAGTCGTTGGGGATTATTATCACTATTTAGATTGGAATAAAGGGCCTCTTTTTGCACCGACAATAATTTGGAGCTTCATAGCCCGACAAGCTCAAGATATCAAATGTAATTACTTCCTATAGTTAGTGCTGACCATTTTCTTTCACAGCTCGCATTTCACAGCCTTGGACAAAAACTTCCTCAAGCCAAAGCCACGTTGACGATGAGGACTTTGGTCTTTTTGACGCTGGTAAGTCACAATCTCTGCTATCGCTAAGAAAATTTTACTCTTGTGGACAGTGGATCAGAATGACTCTTCCGACAATCACGCGGTAGAAATCCAGAGATCTCTCATATGACGAACAGAGAATGAGGATTGTCATTCAGAGAACGGTAGAAGCACAAAAGCCATAAAAGACACTGGACAATTTAGAAGCTTTTAAAGAACGTGTAATACCAAATAACTTGTAACCATTTCCTCTGTGAAGGGACGAAAAGTTTGATGGAAAGAATGATTTTGACGGATAAATACAAATTTGAAGCTAGCGCACGCCTTGTTCATGCTTTCCTTTATTGTACTGAGAGTATGCAAGCCGTTTCATTTCCACAGGAAAAAGTTCTTAGTTGCTACGATACCAGAAACGCACGAACGAAACTAGAGGATCATGGCTTCCTCACGTGCCACTGGCGCATGGACTAGCTCCCTGGTCATTGCAAAGACATGGGAGTTGGTCTCACATTGTGAGAGATCTGATCTAGCTTGTTTGAGTTTGTTTGTAGATATGATCTGTAGTAATCTTGAAAAGGAATACCTGGAGATTAATTCTTTTTGGTTTGCTTAAACAAAACCTGTAGAGATAATAGTGGATATACCTAAAATGTATTTAAATATTTTAGAATATTCTACCATATGATGGTTGTTATTTATTTAGATTAATCTTGTTTATAATTTATAATTTTCCTAAACACCTCCTAGTAAATTCTTTTTTATTCTACCATCTAATGGTTAATATGCAATAAGATTAATCTTGATTTAAAAATTATAAACATGTTTATAATTATTGATTAATTGGATTATTCAAAGACACTACAATTAAGCAAATCAAGCATTGTTGCATGCAACACACAACAAATTATTTAGGTGACACAAGAAAGCACTTTTTCTAACAGATTCGTACTTGTGAATTATTAATAAAACTGACTCAAGTAAGGATAAATCTCTTCCTATACGTATTGCTCACACTCATTTATAATACCTTGAATTGTCGTGACTATAGAATAAAAGACAGAAGCGCCCAGACGAATACTTCAATCCAACACGAACTGTGCTCAACTCCTCATATACTACACATCAAGCTCCTGAAGGCGATAACAATGATAACGAGAATGGAATGGAGGAAGGCTCTCGAAAGCTTTTTTTATGGGACAGCAGGATAAATATAAGCATATGTTTGTTCACTTGACTTATCATAATGTAACAATCTGGCCCTGACATTCAAACTATTCGTGACAGAATCTGCTTTGGGTGAGCACAGTTTAATCCATGGTTTAATTCAGTGTCAGTACAGTTGGTGTGTATATAGTCCTTGAATCTAGCATATGTTCAACATCCAAATTTGGGTGATCAAATTCTGAAAAAACCTGAAGACTTGCTTAGTAAAATAGATAAATGTGAAATGGAAGGAAGCACTACACAAACTAAAATATTGATAAGTGAGGGCTGATGTTAAGTATATAAAGAAATCACTAGCAAAACCAAAAACTCCTTGGCCACAGTAAGCTAAGGTTTAACACTGATGGCAAAGAGCAATGTATTTAGTTTTATACAGGGGTAATTGATCACGTGGATACAGCTTGGAAAGCCTATTATAGCCTCCAAAGTGATCTTCACATAACTTCATTCATTCATTAACTATTTACAGGGTCTTGTGGCACCACCAAGAAGCATGAGATCAACAAATTATAATAAACTGTTTTGATGATCTTGTAAAATGTTTGTTCACTAAACTCCTTGAAGTCTTCTGCCACCAAGCTTTCTATCCCCACACTAACCTGCCTGTTGCCCTTCTTGATGCATCTTGGGTTGGAACCTTAGCACAATCCTTATATAACCATTGGCATTTGTAAAATTGTTGTCACTTTTGTTTTGCTTTTGACTGAATTGTGTGTGTCGCAAATGTGACTTCGGGTATTAAAAGATACTTGTCGGCTAGTCCTTACGAGCACTCTTTCCTTACTGCCATGATGGCAGAAGGTCGATACTGCTGGTTCCCTTTATTAGCCCCTCTTGTCCAAGTGTTAGTAAACTGGACTTAGCATCTGTACTTGGCCGGATGAGCATAAGGAAGGAATCCTAAGTGTGTATTTAGCCAAGTATACTTGCCTCGGCTTGTTAATTCTCTTTTGCTTTGTCTTGCACTGGCTTGGCAAAAACCCTCTATTGAGACTAGTCCCTCAATATTGTTAGATGATAGCTTACTGTGTCTGCCAAACACCCTTGTTATCACGCCCTTTGTGTTAGTCTCATTTTGGTCCCAAATGCTATTTATGGGAAGTGTCTAGATTCGCTCATTTGGCATATTTACGGAATGTAAAGGTTAGCCTGAACACAATAGTGTTCGTCTCGTGTCCAAATTCGCAATCTAGGGACATTCTATATTTAATATTGGAAATACTAAATATTGGAACCATATCTCTCTCCCTTTACACCAACTAGAAAACTCTTAATTGTTTGATGAGAGAGCCCTTAGTGGCTATTTTATCCCCATTTATCCCCCAAGGTTCTAAGGATCCATGGTGACATTATATTCAAATTTCATCCCATGATCACATGCATTACACTCACCCCCCTTTCAAAGATATCAATGTCTTTATTGACTATTGACTAATAACCCTTACTGAGCCAAGAGGAACCAACACCTCCATTTCCGCATTAAATTTACCAATCCTTCCATTGTGTAGATTAGCTATTTCATATGAGGTAACTAGTCATCCACTCATACCGTAGTCCCATGGTGGATACCTTCGTCCGTGGATACTCTACACAAGAGGAAGGACATATGCATGAATGCCTAATATGTATGATTTCAAATTTAGGGGTAGGAATATACCTTGCTCAAGGGGATATTATATTTTTAAGTAGCCATTAATCAATAGGAATTGAGTCTGTGCCATTTGCTCCGATACCACATGTACTGTATGTGGTTTTTACCCTTTATCCTATGGTAATTTACTATAGGATAACACTACGAAGCGGAACCTAAACCTTTCATGTGCCACATATCATATGCCATGTGTCACATTCCACGTGTCCATAGGACAGTGGTGTGGAACCCGACGTTCAGGGCCTTGGGCCACTGAACGAAGGAATGGTGCCAAACTCCCAAGCATGGAGCCAAGGAGTGATGAAATTGGACCATGGAGCAACTCTCGAGCATACAACCCACGGAGCGAAGGGATAGGAGCCCAGAGTGACTTGGAACAGTTATGGAGCAACCAACATCCTAATGCCAGGACTAGCACGTAAAACGAAGTCAAATGGAGTCTGGTGCTATTTCAGCATATCGGTGGCCTAACGCAAGGATATGGGTATTCCACTAGCTAGCATGGAATGGAACTTGGGCTTAAACCCAAGCTAGACGTAGAACAAAAACAGCCACGTAAGCAGGAGCTAGACTATGCCTCAGGTTGGTCGATCATGCCCGACCTACCTATTATCCCTACTATACATTTGGAACCCCCCCCCCCCCCCCCTCCTATTAATGTCTCAAATCCAAGAGACCAATCCAGAGTAAACCACAAATAATATGTGGTAATGCGAAAAGCCATAAGCTATAAAAAAAAAACAACTAACTATCATAGAAGATCATTAATCATCCTATCAAAAGATATGCATAATCATTGTCGAAAAAGGAATCCACCATCTCGAAAAATAGCAAATCTTTCCATACAAACAATAATCAAACAAAACCTTTGACAAAGATAATCAACTATCTTAGATGATAGTCAATCATCACCAATGATTGCTAGATGCAAACACTAACTTCAACATCTTAGACTTAAGTAATGATCACAAGTTTCGCATGAACCAACTTCAATGCTAAAGAAGAAATCATGGTATAACCCACAATATCCTTCTCAACACATTAATAAACTAAACTTTATAATGTAAACCTAATAAAGAGTATATCTGCATCAATCCAAAAGCCAAGCACAATGGAGCTATGCTCAACAAGTGATCACTAAATAATCCTCCATGAATCCATCTATAGCAAGACGTAACTCACTTCATAACAAGTACAAAAAGAATCATCAATGATCAATATATTCCAACTCAAATCCAATAAAGATTCAAACATTCCAATATTTGTTTGCACGAGTTTATGCTTGGGCTTGTGAGTGAGGCACATTAGCAACTCAAGGTTACACTTTGAGTTGGCAGGACTAATATTAACCTATCGGTGGTTCTATGAGTTGTTCCATTGGTTCCATGAATTGTTCCATACATCGTGGGTGAAGGTAAACCTTCTCTGAGTTTGTTATGAGTGGCAAATAGGCTGGTCTATAGTTGTTTAGCACAGCACTAATGGATCTTTCCTAGGCATGATTATAAGTGGATCAATCAAGATTAAAGGGATTAGTCTATTGATTCAAATAGTCATTGCCGTACTCTCTCATAAACTTTTCTTGGATTAGACTGAAAACAGTGTGAAAGCAAGTTTGAGGTTTAGTCAAAGATGAGGCCGAAAAGAAAGTTGTCAGGGATGAAGTATCAAACATGTAAATCATTTTCTCTTGAAGAGATAATTTGCAACAAAGTGTGACTCATTGCTTATGTTCATGGTATGCAATCAAAAGTCCCTATCTTGGTGCATATTGAAAATGATGGTCTTATATGTTGCACTTTTCTAAGAAAGGTAACCCTTGTGCCTTTCTTCTATAGTGTTATGCTCGGTGGTAGGTTGCATTTTGCATTTCGTTAAGACTTTATGAGAGTAGTGAGCTCTCACTAATTTTGATTTAGTTTTAGTAGCCCTTGACTGAGGATGGTGAGGTCCAATTTAGTTGTGTGAGTTTGAGATGTTAGTACTTATACTATAGCTTTGTCTATGAGGAGGTTGTGTACTAATATGAGTTTATCTCATGATCTTCACTTTGGTTTCAACTGAGTGTTGATCATACATAGCTAACTTCTACAAGGTATGCTCAGAACTGTTAGCTAAATGCATTGGTGAGCTTATTGCGGTTGAGTTGGATTCGAGTGGTCATTTAGTTCGTGTTTATCCATGAACCTTTATCTTGTACCTAGGGTATTACGTTCATATTGGACAAGTATATGACTTGATGGCACGAGTTTGGTGTTTGGTTCTTGTGAAGGCAAGTTGAAGAGTGATTGTTGGTTACTTTGCAACTAGTGATTTCTTGTAGGCTTCATTGAGGACTGTTGACACTTGCTTCACTCAATGAAGATTTAGCAGTGATAGACTTGCTTTACCGGATGTGTTGCGGA